ATGTGTATAATATATATATATATATATATATATACATTTTTTAATGAAACAAACTTAAAGTAATGGAATAAATGCTGATAAACTGCCTATTTGCCACTTATTGCTGCCAATTTTCAACAATCTGTCACATTCCCTATTTTATAGCCCAGCCACCATCCTTTTTATTTGTTGGTATAGTTTCCACAGCTTTTCATTTTTCTGCTTTTATATTTTGCTGCGTTTATATTTGTAGACCTCCAGTCTAAATAGAAACAGTCAATTCAGGTGACTTGAATAAACCCGGATTTGCTTTTTGTTATAAATCAGTCACCCAAAGAGACATAATCAATAGACAGGCCACAGGTGGACTACACAAGGATTTTTATGTTATAGAAACTTTTGGAACAGGGCACCAGCATTTGGCTTTGTAAAGACCATGCCATTTGGTCAAAGCTTGGAAATCTGGTGGAGACTTTACTCCTGGGCTCCAAAGGAAATGTAAAAAGACGGCATGTGATTCAGTTTCAAAATGTTGAACTGATATGATTTATGGTCCTTAATCTTAAAGTACCTCTGATTTCCCACGATCCCTTAGGCCCCTTTCACACGAGCTGTTTAGGAGGTGATCGGTGCGTGGATCCCCTCCTGATCAGAGCAGTAAGGAGCGGATGTGAGTGCTGTGACATCCATGTCAGTCCAGTTTTTTCCTCCATTTTACGGTGGAGAAAAATAAATGAAATTATCGGACTCCATGTCAGTCTATGGGAAATCGGATGTAAATGGACATCAGATTACCCCCGATCGGGTCCGGCAAATTGAATCTCTGATCTGTTTGTTTTTCGGGAACTAGCTGAAGTCTTGGGTAAACTGAGGCTGTCCATTAACACACGGCTGCCCATAGACTAACATTGGGCATCTGATCCGGCCGCCCGTGTGGAAGGGCCTTACAACCAGAACCAGCAACATTTTCTGGGCAAAATGTAATCCTGTGCCTTGCACCCTTTTTTTTCCCCAGACCAATTTTACCTGCATGTAGTATTCTCTGCAGACTATTGGTGGTGGAGCAACCATAAATAATTTCTGTTTTCAAAGGTGTGTGTAATTAAGCTTCGGAGGCTTTCATAGACTTGCAGAGTAGTGGCATCTCCAACACTTTATTCTCAAGGCAAAAAGATAACTGCTTTGACTTAAAGGAGAACTATGAGGTGAGTGCTTTTCACTCGCCTCATAGTTCTAGCCGACCTGTGACAATGTTACTGTCACAGGCCGGCTCAGTAGATCGAGAAGTGAGCGAACAGATACCGGCGTTCACTCACCTCTCGATCCTGTCACAGCTCTCTGCCGTGACAGGGGAGGGGCTGGATTCCCCCCTCCCCGCTCCGATCCTCCAGCGGTGACTGGCGGATTGGACGAGGGAGGGGGCGGGTACAGCTGGCTCTGCCTCTAGATAGGCAGAGCCAGCTGTCAGTCACGCAGCTGGGCGGATCTAGACATAATTGTCGGAATCTGCTTCAGCTGCAGAATCTCAGTATACCGCGAGCAGTGGCTCGCGGTGTACTGTGGCATCTCAATATACCGCGAGTCGCAGTATACTGAGCTTAGGGTGACGGGAGGACGCTAGTTTGTGTCCTCCCGTTACCCTAAGGAGAACTATGGGGAAAAGCCTTGACCCCATAGTTCTCTAAGTTTTTTTTTTTATGTAGGTTTGTTTTTTAGAATAGCTGTAAATGACTATACGTTTGTGGCTGAACCTAAAACTGTACTTGCATTGCTATGTTTGCTATTTTTGTACTCCAGTGGATGACTTCGGTGAAGAATCTTCTTTCTATGAGATCCTTCCATGCTGTGCCAGATTCCGTTGCAGTGAGCTGATAATGGAAGGCCAGTGGCATCATTTGGTTCTGGTGATGAGTAAAGGCATGCTGAAAAATAGCACAGCAGCTCTTTATTTAGATGGGCAGCTAGTCAATACAGTAAAGGTAAGTGGAGTTCTGCTTTTGCCTGAAAGTTTTATTACAAGCCAACAAGTCCAGTATAAACTGTGCTTTAGTTATTGATTACGTCCCAGACATAGAATTGTGTCAAGAAACAGGAAGTACTTAGGATTATTGGCTGTGCATGTATGTTTTGATTTTTTAGTTACGAATACTTTCAATGGAGAATTGGTTTAATTGAAACTTAACCTCTTGCCGTCCGCCCGTAGATTGAAAACGGAGTTTGCGCACTGCAGCATGTGCGGGTTGCCGTCTCCAGACGAAACAGTAAAAGCAAATGCG